GCGGGAAGCAAGGCGCTGGGCCAGCGCGAGACAAGGCAAGTGATGGAGAAGTGTCGAGAAACCCTGCTATCTAGCCTTCCTCGGTCCTGAAAAAGGCGTTCCACCGTCTACCACCAGCAACACTATGAAGATCGATCAGAGAACGGAGCCTTGCAGAACACTAGATTTTTGTTGAAGGATATGTACAATGGGGATAAAGCACCCCACTCCGCCTAACCAAGTATGTAAAGGTCACGGTTGGGGTATCCTGAGGATCAGCCCTAACGACATCGCCCTGATAGCGGATAGCAATGAAGAACTTCAGTGCAAGGCATAGAAATGGAAGTGCTGGTAGAAGTTGGGTCCCGTTTGAAGACGTCAAGATCACCAAGTTCCCAAATTCTGACGAGGGTACGGGACTGGTCCTGGCCCCATGGAGAAATCATCAAAAGACTTCCGATATCTTGGTAGCGATCTCGCCGCTGACGGTAACATAGATCAGGTAGTAAAGGCACGGATCAACGCGGCATGGATGAAATGGAGGGAGTCTACTGGAATCCTCTGCGATCGAAGGTGCTCCAGAGCGCTCAAAGGAAAGGTGTACCGGAGCAGTGATAAAGGCCTTCGATGCTATATGGCAGCGAATGCTGGCCAGTGGGCGGAACCATTAGAAGGAGCTTCACTCCGATCCTCGCTGAGATGGGTGCTGAGATTGGCTTGTGGCTGGACGCAGTAGACAGGGTCCAAAGGGAAATGTCAGGCCGACGTCATAGTTTGCGAATCGAGCGATTCGCTGGATCCGAGCGTTGCGCCAGCGAATCGAACGTTGCACCAGCGAATCGAACTATGCACCAGCGAGTCGAACTATGTACCAGCGACTCAATAGTGGCGGGACCCAACGTTCAAAGGAAGCCCGCCACTTTCAAACAGTGTCACGTGACAGTGGACCTTTTTTGAAAGTGGCGGGACTTGACAGTGGACACTGTTTGAAAGTGGCGGGCTCCCTTTGAACGTTGGGTCCCCCCACTATTGATGTCGCGACCGGTGCCCCGAGGTGGTGGTGGATGAAGCGCATCGGTGGCGGAGCACCGAGGACACGGCAGAACGGGTATTAGAAGGGCCCGAACACCCTGTCCTAGGGGGATGCGTCGCGTAAGGAATGCTCTGACGACTGTTGCCTGCCGCGAGCCTGGTGAGGCCCTCTCCCCTATCTGACGACCTTACGACCGTGCTGCTAAAGATGTGTAGATATTGCTACATAACAGAACACTAAGTACTTAAGGTGATTTATGCTAATATTACAATAGATTGCGAGACTACGTTATATAGAAGGATGAGAGAGAGATGGGAGGAACCTACGGGCACGATCGGAAGGATAAGCGGCGGAGTGGTATGCGACCGATCCGTTGGCTGTCGAGATGGTGTTGACGGCAGCTCCAACCATGGCTGAGGACTCCACGGACACAACCGCTCGGCGAGACGACTGGAACGACGACTGACAGACAGACGAGCGCGGGCCAAGGCAGAGATGCAGAGCACTTCCCGCACTGGATGTTGCATGCGTTCGAACCATGGGAAAGTGTCTGCGTCCGTGAGAAGGCGTAGTATTTCGTCCTCCGAGGCGTGAGAACATGACTGGAGCATGGGAAATAATCGGCGCCTACCTTGCACGTTTGAAAAGGTCGGGACGAGAGTCGCCACTATTGAGTCGCTGGTACCTAGTTCGACTCGCTGGTACATCGTTCGACTCGCTGGCGCAAAGTTCGATTCGCTGGTGCAACGTTCGATTCGCTGGCGCAACGCTCGGATCGAGCGATTCGCTAGCGAATCGCTCGATTCGCAAACTATGACATCGGCCTAAGGCGGCGATGGTGCAGGACCTCCCCGAGGCCGATCAACCGGAAGGCTGCGGAACAGCGGCTGGTGAAGGTATGCATCAGCCATCAATTGATTTGAGAATATCCCAGTCATCTACCCACTATATAGCTCAATTCTCATCGTCAGATATGCCCGGTAACGATGACGCAAGAAATCTGCGGCCATTCGTCTTGCTAATTATGTTTCTATGTGAGGAGGGTGAATTGAGCAACTTTTTAAAGCTATTAACAATGTACTCAAATGGATTCCCTCCAGCACCACACAGAAGGAAAGACTGTACTCTACCAGAGGCTTTTGATGTTCTTTTTCCGCAGTTCTTGTCACAGTAATCTTGATTTCTTGCGACGGCGATTCTTCCCTTATTTCATTCACCAAAACTACCGAAGGCAGTTTTGCAAATGCAGCAACACACTAGGCGTAAATTCAAAACCTTTCTGTAATGCACGACGCCATTTTTATTCGACGCCTAGTTCAATAGCCCGTCCTTCAGTTGCGTCAAACTGAAGGGGCTTTGAATGGAAGAAGTCTTCACATTTCCATCAAGTAGTGCGAATTGCTTGCAACGTTCCCATACAAGTGGGTCCGATTCAGTTTACCTTCAGAGGCTTGGGGAGGTGTTTAGATTTCTTAGTACTCTCGACTGTTTGTCCGCTTACTGCTTCTGAATTCGCTATTGCGGCAGTTCCAAGCCTTTAGTGGAATTATTTGGATCTGAGAAGCTTCTGGCAGGCTAGACCGCTACATTTTTTTTCCCAGTTTGTGATCGCAGTGGGCAAACAGGCGTTCGCAAAAAAAACTGCCATGGCGAGAACATACGCATGTTTTAATTGGCACGAAAGTGCAAAACGTATGTGTGTGCTTTACCATCAGGGCATGATTCCTCCCTATGGTTAAGTCTCCACAAAAAATTTCCTTGAGGTTTCTGGGTTGAAATGGTAGAGCAGCGTCCAATTGATGTGAAAAGAAAGTTCTTTTAGTTTTGAATGTACGTATACATAGTTCATTGAGTCTCGTTTCGAAGAACAGCAAAATGCTGAAAATGCTTGTCAGCATTTATTGGTGTACTTTAGGAGTCCTCTCCATGATATGATATCTATCGATGTTTTTGAAGAGACCTTTCATTGATCTGACACGATTACTGCTAATAATATAAGGTGCAGGGCCGGTTTCAGAACAATTGACGATCGGAAGAGGTGAAAGTGCAGGGTGAGAGACAGCTACGCTAACCGGCCGGTTCTCTGTTTTAACGGGCGAGGCTAGCTGAGTGACTTCACTGACAATGAGTGATCGAAGAATGGCTAAGCATTTTTCCCGAATGTGCATAATTGAAGCCCAGGGAGTGATGTCTTCGACCGCACACTAGAACTCTTTTTTTGCGTAGTAAAAGGTTGTTAATGTTTCTTTTATGTGTTTTCAGAACTACGACAAATGCTTCACCGATTTTTTCCAAAAATTTATAGCCTCCAACTATCGACACAAGTATGCGATAAATCCATGCGATAGGCTTCATCAAGTGTACCGAGAGTGTGTGGAAGAGGTGAGTAAAGCGCTGTATGGCATTGCAGCAGCCTCTTCACTTTTTCTTCCTGTCATATTGAAACCTACTTAGAGTTAAGGATCTCGAAGAAAGATGTATCAGAGGTTAGAAGATGGGAAGGGGGGGGGTACGCTCAAGCCGTATCCTGTCCCTTACCCAGACTAGGGGATCGATAAATACCTCGAATTTTCTTTTCGCATTCGGCGCATATTTGGCTCCCTTTCTTAGGCAGCTTTCATAGTTTGCGGTCCGTGCGGACAGCACGGGCAAGGTGAAAAACGTCAACACGCGCTCTGGCGCACAACGCGTACTTGGCGCGCAGTCGGCGCCTTCCTCGATCGATAATCCTAATTTCGATACATTTTTTCTATATTTTGACGTTTTGTGTGCCGTTTTGCTTTTTCTTGCGGTTGTTTAGCTCAAAACTTTTCCTTTTTGTATGGATTACTGCTTTTGCTTACTAATGAACCCACTTGGTGCTTATTGCCACTTTCAAACACAGTGTATGAACCTAACCATTCTAGGACAGTTGAAAAGCAGATTCACACGAAAAAGAAAAAGGTTCTCGCCAAAAAACACGAGCAAAAGCAACACGGCACAAGGAGCACCTGAAAAACAAAAATAGAATGTAATGAAATCGAATTTATCGATTGGAAGGCGTCGACTGGCTTTTGCTCGTGTTTTTTTTGGCGAGAACCTTTTTTTTTCGTGTGAATCATTGCTTTTCAACTGTCCTAGAATGGTTAGGTTCATACAGTGTGTTTGAAAGTGGCAGTAAGCCCCAAGTGAGGTTCATTAGTAAGCAAAAGCAGTAATCCATACAAAAAGGAAAAGTTTTGAGCTAAACAACCGCAAGAAAAAGCAAAACGGCACACAAAACGTCAAAATATAGAAAAAATGTATCGAAATTAGGATTATCGATCGAGGAAGGCGCCGACTGCGCGCCAAGTACGCATTGTGCGCCAGAGCGCGTGTTGACGTTTTTCACCCTGTCCGCGCTGTCCGCACGGACCGCAAACTATGAAAGCAGCCTTAACCATTTGGGACGCGGTCGCGGCGAGCGCGGCCGAGTCGATAGTGCCCGCGAACTGTGCGGGTAAATTTGAAAACGCTCACCACCACAGTTCGCGGGCACTGTGGACTCGTCCGTGCTCGCCGCGGCCGCGCCCCAACTCGTGAGACCGCCGTCACACTCGGTGACGAACAAGCGATGGAGCGATTGCGGTCGCTCTATCATCGCTTGTCCGTCGCCGAGTGTGAGGGCGGTCTGAAGAAAGTGGGGGAGCCTGCATATTCTAATCACAACTCAAGCAACCCAAGAAGACTATTCGGTGCTAACTAGCCATTACAACTTCAATATCTCATGTTTTTATTTTTTGTCGAAACTTCACCCTAGAGGTAATTTGATGTTAGAAAATCTCCTGATTATGAAACTTGATCACGAAAATGAATTTTTAGTCTCGGCGTTGGCGCCAGTTAGCGCCACTTTATCACGACGGCTGTTGTCACCAATGTCACTGAGAACTTGTATACGGGGTTGTTTGGTGTTTTGATTACAAATTTTGGCGTTGGTGCTGTTTTACGCCCTCTCACTGATCACATCATGATCATGGTCAAACCATCAGAGGAAGGTGGGCTCGGAGCTGAGTACTTTCCATATCAGAAAAGGAGAAGCTCGTCGAGTGCAGACCACACACAAGTGACGACGGCCTCCACAAAATGTAAATGTTTTCTGCCAATGAAATGATTAGCCTGTTGCAGTTGTATTCTATCAGTTGTCACTAATTACAACTATCATTTACAACTATCACTATGAATCACTAGTTACCAGATTTACTTGGAGGCCGTCGTCACTTGTGGTGTGTGGTCTGCACTCGACGCGCTTCTGGTCTTCTGAAAGAGAGGGTAAGCATTCGTGAGCATGCACATTGTAATCTCACACACTAAATTTGCAACACGGCTGCGGTTTGCCCAACCTCCCCAATCTTCCCTTCCCCTGAGCTTAGCGCTTAGGTGCCCTGAGTGAAATGGCGCAGACAAGTCTAAAATAGCCGCTAAATAGCATCAGCGCCAAAAGTGACTTAATTGGCAAACCAAATAACCCCTGCTGACAAGTTTACAGCTTGTTTGGTTGAAGTGCCATTCATTTTCGTGACATCGAATTCCCCTGTAGAAGGTTCGACGAAATATAAAATTATGAGAGTGTAATAGTTGACTAGCACCCTAAAATATACAGATGTCGTTCTGTTTCTCATGGTCTAATATTTTTTTCGAGAAAGTACTCAGTGCAGTAATAGCCTTTTTGTATTTGCATGAGGAGCTCTTTTCTGCCAATTGCGTCTGTTTTAGAAACTTGCAACCAATAGACCTTTTGAAATCGACATTGCTGAAGTGCAGAAAGATTTCTTGAATACCGATGGTGATAAATTACGGGATAGTCAGGAAGAGAAGTAGTCTTTTAGTATGATACTTTATGCTTAGGTATTTTGTTGTTGAGCATTTAACTTGTGAATGTACATTGTGATATGTTGTTACTACTTTTTGGTTACTTATTTGCAATTGCATCAAGTTTTGTATTCCATAATGTTTATGAAAATAAATTTTCTAAAACTTTGTGTTTTGTTTTGTCAATTCTCGTTTGACGCAATATCTTCTACTTTGAGGACGATGTATGGGAAGGAGTACCATCCTTTGATCTAGGTTTCAGGTACAGTAAATGGAAAGCCTTCAATCTAATTTACCACATCCTCAAATTATTTCCGATTCTGGGGAGTCACGGTTCAACCAGTTGGAACGAACCTTAGAACAGTTCCAGGTAATTTTCACATCATTCTTTGTTTCGAACAAATATCTACCTTTGCAAGTAAGGCTTTCTGAAGGTTGATACTACCTTCTGACACTCTCCCGAGATTACAATCTTTCGGCGATTGGCAACAATGTTCGTTGTTCTTTCCAGGAGAACGCCCGTCACTTGGGTGTGATTGCAACCGATTTTGGAGCGAGAAGTCAGGAGCCCTTCAATCAGAAAATCCACACCTTAGTATCAGGGCTACAGGTGACATTGTAGTTCTTGTTATTTGCGTTTATTATAGGATTAAAATTCTTCCGACTACAGCTTAGGCACCTATCCACTTTTTTATTTCATTGTTTTGACAGGAATTGGATCAAATGCGAAGCCAATTCATGGACGTGAAAGTCCCGTTGGAACTTCTCGATGTGTTAGATCAAGGGAAAAACCCGCAACTGTACACAAAGGAGGTTCTGGAAAGGACGCTGTTGAAAAATAAAGAGGTGCGTTTCCTATTTCTACGCGCAAAGGCTATCTACTTACGTTGAAATGTTTGCTCGTTTTGGCTTTTACTCTAGGACAGCAAAATAGGGGTACTCAACGGGAGGCCCGTCGCACAGCAAGAAGCAGATTCAGCTCGTACTGCACTGAATTCGCCTCAGGTTAACTAGAATGTACCATCGCACATCACCCGCTTCGACTAGTTCACTCACTCTGCCTTTCTGCCGCGCGACGGGCCTCCTGTCGGATATCCGTAGATTAGGTCTGCTCACAGACTTATTAGAAAAATCAGTGTAGTAGATCCCTTTATCCCAATCTATATAAACTACTACTGAGTTCCTTTTTCAGGTCAACGGTAAGGTTGAAACGTACAAGAAGTTCCACGCTGCCCTTCTGAAAGAACTCGGAGAGGAAATGCCTGAAGATACGATGACATATCGAAATATCAGAGATATCATGGAAAAATGATTTTTGTTTTTGTTTGTTTGTTGTACAGTATTTTCCGTATTTGTAAATAATTTTGTTTACCTCGTTCGCAATCGGTGTGCATGTTTATTTTTGAGATGAAGACTTACTCTTTCCTACGTCTAATTGCAGTAAGGTATTGCCATTTCCACTATCTTTCAAGCATTATTCCAAATGCAAAAATGCAATTATGTTCATTTAGCTGTCATGTCCATTGGGGCCAATGCCGTTTTCCGGCCCCAAAATAGTGTCTCAGCGGCCCTGATTCGTTTTGTCCCCAACTTTGTTGCACTACGATTAAGCTGGACGCATAACTCGTTGCGAAGCGAAGGCGTCGAGCAATTTGTGGATGAGTTTCTTCCAATAATAAGGTGCATTTTATAACTGTTTTTGTCAACAAGAATGAATGTAGGATAGGTTGATCATAGCTAGTTTCCAGTCTTAGTTTATGCAGGTGTCTAGCACACATTCGAGGATTGAACGATTAGCTGAGCAAGGTAGATTAGTACTGACCTGTAAGAACAACTACACTATAAAATTTTAGGGAAAACAATCCACAAATCAAGTACTTTCCTACACAGAACCTACACGGAATGTGATCCCTTTGTCGTTGGAGAGTAAGTTCTTATTGATTTTTGTTGGTTTTTGATACATTTTATTCTCTGGAAAGGTTTTATTTGTTATCCCTGAACGATTTTTATGCGTCTTCCGACATCTATTTCTAAAAGGGTCTGGTCTAAACCGCCCTCTTCTGATTATCATCGCCTTTCGCTCGATGTGATGTTTTCGCGTTTCCAACTGCCTTCTCCAGCGCTCCCCACTCTAGCCCACTTAGATCTGCTGAAACTTGCTAATTAGTTTCGCATTTTAGTTTAAGTCTGTTTCTAAAGTTTGTTTTGGAGCATAAGAACACCGTAATGTGTCTAAATTGGAGTTGTTACCTTGGAGAGACCATCCTTTGAAGGCTATCAATTAATGTCGTTTGACGTCATCAGTTACCCCTGCTCGTGGAGCTCCGTGTAGATTAATTTTTCAGTTACAGTTCTTACAAACGTACAATAAGATTGTTTTGCTTTTCTAGTTAGAACTTGTCATGAACGGTTGTAAATACGCTCACCTCCCATCCTTTTTCAAGGTACACCTGGCTCCGAAATCGCAAAAAACGGGCATCATGGAGATCGAAGCATCAAGTCCTTTCGATGATAGAAGAAATGTCTGTAGGAGGCGATTATCGTCCAGGTTCACTTATTTTCTTAAGCTATCTCGTTAATCAATATTTGCAAAGTACAACTTCATCAACTCTAAGGAATGAAACGTGGCGTAAACAGACGGCTTCCACGTGGTCAGGAATTGTGGGATACGGAGACACTTGGGCATGATGTTTTCAAGGTATTCTTCCCAATCTTCAAGCTTTGAATGCTTTTTAGCTAGATTAAAAGATAGCTTGTTGTTAACGCATAACTTTTAGGTGTATAGTAAGTGGAAGGCTGATGAAGAGGATTTGGACATGCCCACATCACAGAAGCATCCTCATTTTGTATATAGGAAATACTAAAGTAGTGTTGTTGTGTAGCTTATAGAGTTGTTATATTGTTTCAATATTCATGCATCTTTGAAATGAAATTGAAAAAACTGAGCTTCCTATCAGTTCTTTTCAATCGATGTAGATGCATCAAATTTCCACCTCTGTAGACCTGTAAATGAGAAACAACGAGGTCACGCAGAAGTTTGTTGTTTCGGTCCGGAATGTTTTGTTAACTGCTACTTTTGGACAATTGGCAATGCGAATTTTTTTGAGTATATGTACGTTATGTTATGGGCGAAAATTTGACCTCGGACGTGTTTGGGTATTCTCGAAGCGATCGCTCTACTCATAACTTGATATACTATCCTCGAGTCCTTGTGTCCTTGTAGTATGCTTGATCCCGCGAACCGATTTGTCCTATTTCCTGGGTTTATTATTGGTAGTACACGTGGGACACCCCCCCCCCCCCCACAAAACCGTAGGTGCAAATTTTGATATTTTGATGCGATAATAGCTATGCAATAAATAAGCACAGTAGTGAAGATGACTATTAGCAGCTGAGATCATCTATCAACAAAAAATGCAAGGATGGGTGTTAGGGTTTGGTTGTTCTATTCTCTAGTACTCTGCGCAGACAGGACGACCAGCACGTCATGCGATTTTGTGACGGACCAGAGCGGTTACCGACTGGATCCCTCGGGACGTCAAACGAACACCTGGACGACCGCCGGCCCGATGGTCAGACTTCTTCACGAAAGCTCTGAACGAAAGGAATGAAGGACTTCGTGTCCCTCGAGCGAGGAGGATCCACTGGACAACTCTTGCACGCGACAGGGACGAATGGAGACGTTGCTGGCGCCCGCTCGAGCAATTCGATGATCAACGGGACGACAGGTGATTGTCTAGTATCTGGCTTCACACTGACCGTATCACGATGACAGGATGAATCGCTCATAAATCTAGGATACGCCACGAAGCCATCTTCCATCTATTCCTAATGGTGTTTGAATGCGCGTATTGCCTGCGCAGGCCTTGTAGGTGAAGGACGGTTGATCGCGTTCATCTCACCATTAGCCAAGTTCAAGACTAATTGACAGGGCTGGTCTGCACAAGATTCAATCTGATGGCTATTTGTGGGACACCGGCGCCTTTCGCTTTTGCCCTAATTCACGATCTCAGTGGGAAGGTAGTAGTTTAGCGTTAAGGAATACCACCAATGATTAATAGTCCTGGTTGCAAATCTGAACATAAGAAGCTATAAGTGTCTTGAGGTGTGTCCTTTTTCTTCGCGTTGCCGAAACGTTTCTGTCGCTGTTTCTTTTCTCGCGTCAGGGAAGACAGTTCCCGCTTTTCACTTGATTAATGTATTGACGGGCGCTCTCGAATCGCTTCTTGTTTTGGTTGAAAAAAATCGCTCACTTTTCCTTCTATTCTGCCAAACTCCTTCATACTGCACGTCCTCAGTTCATTTCCTCTTTCGACTCTAGTACTCGAAAAATTGTCGCCACGCTCGGGCATCGAGTTTCTTGCCTACACACTATTCTGAATTGTGTACATATGTTATAGGACAATGAAGCACCAAAATGAACCTAGTTTGATTTAAAAAAAAACCGCTCTATAGATTCTACCCCCTCACGGTACTGTAAAAAAACTAAGGATCAGAGCTTCTCGA